GAGAAAGCATACGACAAGGTGGGGTGGGCTTTTGTCACCACCACGCTTAGAAAGATGGGTTTTGGGGAGGGATTTATCACATGGGTGAGAGCAATGTATGTGGACGCCTCATCGATGGTCATGGTAAATTGTAAGCTGTCAAGATCCTTCCCACTCACTAGATCCCTTAGGCAAGGGTGTCCTCTAGCCCCTCTCCTCTTTGTCATCCAATTGGAAATACTAATGGCGAACATAAGGCATAACGACACCATCGTAGGACTGAGTATCCCTCACTCAATCCAATGGAAAGGGGGGCCGCTGGCAGATGACCTCACAATAGCATGCTTAAACTCACAACCTTCAATGACGGCGCTGAGAAGTGTACTAGATGAGTACTGTGTACTTTCGGAAGCCTCCATCAACTGGGAGAAATCGACTTTCTTCCTCCCGGGCCCATTCGAGATCTGCATAGAATGGGGCCTCAAGGAAGTCCCGGCAAACAGCTCGGAAAGGTTCCTGGGGGTCCAGGTGTCCCTTAGGGACAGCGCAACCACACAAGACGCTATCCTGGTAGAGAAGGTCACTGCTAGGATATTAAGCTGGGCACGCAACTTCAGACTGTCCCTCTTCGGTTGAGCGCTGGTCATATCGTCAGCGGCGTTCGCGATCCTCTGGTTCCCCTTAACAATCCACCTGCTTGGAGAAGACGCCTACCGGAGAATCAGGTACGTAGCGCCCAGGTTCCTGTGGAAACCTTCGGCGTCGGACGTCCAGGGGTTTATCAGCAAGCTGGCCTGGGAGGCGGTATGCTTCCCCAGGGATGAAGGGGGCCTGGGAATTCTGGACCCCATCCAACAGAACTATGCCTTACTGGCTAAGTGGCCAATACAGGCCATGTTCGATACGGAAGACAAAGAATGGAAGGCCCTTGCAGTGTTCATCCTGATGGAGGAATGGGAGCTAGTCCAACCTTCCCATGTCTGGTTGTGTTTTTTCATCAAGTCCTACTGCAATAGACAAGTTAAATCAAAGATCTGGAAGAACATCTTAGTTGCCTGGAACAAGGTACGACCTGGCCGGATAGAGGAACCGTCCTCTAGGTCTCAGATACTTAATGAGATCCTGTTTGAAAACGACAAGATCAAAAATCTAGAAGGAAAATCGTTCATGGCAGATTCCTCCCCTGGTGCCTTCGGCAGACCTTGGATTGAGAAAGGTCTCATCCAGATCAGAGACATATGGGACCAGCAAACGGGGGACTGGATATCCTTGGAAAGATTAAGGGCAAAAGCCCCGAGAATACACAATCTGGACCGGAACTTCAGCAAGATTAAGAGCGCTATCCCCCAGCATTGGGTAACAACACTCAAACCCAACTCAGACTGGGCACCTGGAACATGGCTGAGAGATCCAATAGACAATCATTTCCTCTGGAAGATCCTGGGGCCAGATCTGAAATCGGGCACCAAGGCTCAAAAATGGACCACCCCCTCCGGGGGGCAAGTAGAAGGTCCCCTCACTTTCAGGGAGGAGGGGATGATCTCCCCTACCCAGGACTGGGAGGAAGTAAGGGTTTTGGAAAACCACTCCGCCAGATCGCCAAAGGGTACCCTGCTCCCGTGGGAAGTAACCTCTCTGAGAGTGGAACCTCTCATACAGGGATGGCCACACATACCACTATTACCCATAAATGGAAAAGAACACTTGGCGGTCCCTATCCTCAACTACAGGCCAAAGACAGGGGTGAAATGCTTGAGGGCTATTAAAAAGAAAAAACCACTGTCAAGGCTAAAGAAAAAGGCAGCAGCATTACAGGTAGCCATTCCAAAAGACAAGGATCTGTTTAAGTTCTGGAAAGGGCTGAAACGACTTCCCTCACAAAGAAATGCAGCCTTGATGTGGCTGCAGTCCATGAATGTTACAACAACGGCTGTCTGGCTAAGAGAACGGGGTCTCCCAATCCCCGACACATGCGTCAGATGTAACTGGGCCTGGGAATCGGCCTCCCACCTCTGGTTGTTCTGCCCCAAGTCATCGGAGATATGGGAATGGTGGAAGGACAGATGGAGGATCCTGGGAAAAAAGGATACAGAATGGTCCGATAACTTCATCTTACAAGGCATAGTGGAACATGAAGGCCCAGTAACAAGTGGGAGGAACTACATGCTTACCACATGCAGGGGGATAATCATGGAAGCCATATGGTGGGCATGGAACGACCTCATCTTCAAAGGAGAAACCAGGGCCAGAAATCACATATGTAACAGAATCCTTTCTGAACTCAGGACTACGGTTTTGTCGGACTGGAGATACAAAAATTTCATTTGGTTTGGCAAGACTTGGGCTCACAATGGATGCTTCGCTGCAATGAGTGCAGACAGCAATATGACATTAGCCAGCTGGCTAAAGACTACCAGCTCTTAGTTATTGCGATTTCCCTTCTGTTTTAATTCAGTTGTTTGTTTTCCATTTATTAGTCCAGTTGCAACTTTTTATTCTTAATCGAAGGTAGTTTTATGGGATGCTGGACCCGGTTTCCAGCAGAGCCTAAGCTGGGTAATGGCCCCAGTTTTTCCTCCGGGTTGTCATGTGGAGGTTTTCCCGGCCTCCGACTCTTCTTTTGAATTAAAAGCTATCCTTCAAAAAAAAAAAAAAAAAAAAAAAACATGCTCGCCACTCTCTAAATTTAATTCTCTTTTTATTTTTATTTATTTTTATTATTAGTATTTGTTTTTCCTATTTTATTTTTATTTCAAATTTGGTAAGGAATTCGGATGTAATGCTCAGGGGTCTAGTCCCACCTACAGCGTTGAGTTTTCTCAACGCTGAGCTTTCTATCACGTGTGGCATGGTGGGACGGAGCTCTGCGGTTGATGTATTGCGAATCTAACGGTACCAAAATACAGGAGAATAACCTATTAGATTTAGTCATTTTGTAGAATTTTTTTTTGACGTGAAATCCGTTTTGTAGTATGCATTGGCCCTTTTGGTTTGGGCGGGAAGCCATTTTCCATTGAGAAAACTACTCTACCGAGGGTAGGGTACATTTCTCAACTTCAGTGCCTTTCCTTTTTTTTGTTTTTTTAGTCCTCATTGCATCCTGAAACGGAGGAACTCTGACAGCTGTGTTTGGCTTTCTGGCATCAAACTCGTTTCCTTCTTTGGGCAATGAATGCATTTGGCCATTCTCGTCGTCCCTGTCCATTTTACAAATGGTGACCTCCTGGAGTATCCTTTTTTCACGGAGACGTTCACTCCGACTGTTCCAGACATGTTTCATTTCTCGGAGTAACGTTATAAAAAATAAGGAGAAAAGCTGTTTCTAGCATTTTTTTCAGTTCTTTTATTTCTTGTTTCGAATATTTTAATGTCGAAATGGCGTCACACCGTTGAGTTTTCTGAACTCAACGACCGTAGGTGGGACCAGACCCCAGGGCCTCAGGCAAATCTTGTTTAATTTATTTTTCTCCATAACATATCTTTTTTTCAGATTTTTTTGATGAACTTTTTTTTTTTTTTTTTTTTTGGGGTCAGCATCCCCAAGGGGTCCCATACGTTCGGGCGTTCGGCCCGTCCCGAACGCCGGTTACCCTGTATCCAGCCATACATCAGGGGCCTGGTGCCATTAGCACAGAGGATTGGATTGGATTCCTGAATCTGGACTTGTTCCTGGAAAGATGCAGAAATCTGCTTTTCTGCTTCTCTGCACAAAACACATCCAGGAGCTCAGTGGTACGGCCTCCCATCTCGAAATGGCTGCTATACCTTCCTTGCACACCGATGTTAAAAAAAAAAAAAAAAAAAAAAAAAAAAAAACCGAAAAGAGCTCGATCGCATTTCTCCTTTGCTAAAAAATTTGTGGGACACAGTTTACCTTAATCCTTTGCTAGTGGAACCGTGCGCCTGTAGAGTCACAGAAACGAGTTATAATTGTAATATGGGCCAAAATACAGTTTGCAATTGCAGTTCGGGTACCCTACCTGGCCAGCAAGCGGGGTTGTATACATTGCCTCAACTGTAATTGAAACTGTATCTTGCCCCATACTTCAATAATTATAACTCGTTTTTCTGACTCCCGTGTAGTTTCCCCTTGGCCCATACTGCAATAACTATAACTCGCTTTTGTGACTCTTGCATATACACACGACTTCCCTCCGATATAAGCCACCAAGTGGGCACACACCCGAGCACTACGTCTCAATCTCAATTTCTCAATCCCTCTCTCAATCCCTCTCTCAATGATCTCGATCTCAATCTCTCGATGATCTCGATGTCAATCTCTCAATGATCTCGATCTCAATCTCTCAATCCCGATCTCAATTTCTCAAGTTCGATCTCAATCTCTCAATCCCGATCCCAATCTCCCAATGTCAATCTCAACAACGTGTGCGCATACTCACAGGAGGACTTTTGTTGACTCATCTCTGGACGTGATTGCAGTCAAATTCACTCAGCTCCTCCGGCCGTAATTGCGGTCAGATATATTAAGACCCAAATCCCAGTGCGCGTATGCCCTCCTCCATCTCTCAATCCTAGGGGGCCTAGTTGCACCACCCGCCATCTCCCAACATTCCGAATGCATCTGGACAACACACTACGGCCAGATGCATTCGAAATTTAGACGGATGGTGAGTGGTCCAACAACTTCGGTTTTCCCCCGCTAATCTCTCTTTCAATCCTAATCAG